TAGTTAACTTTTTTCTCCTAGATTCTTAAGGTGAAAAATTAATTAGTTGGAGAGCTTTCTTGTTTTCTGACATAGACATTTAAAACGAAGTATTTTCCTTTAAGGACTGTTTTACTGCATCCCATGCATTTTTCTTTTTTTTAATTTTTATTCAGTTCAAAAGATTTCTTAATTCCCTTGTAATTTCTTCTTTTACCTATTGTTTATTTAGAAACATGCTTTTACATTCCCTAATGTTTGGGGATTTTTCCAGTCTCTTTCTGTTCTTGATGTTTAACTTAGTTTCATTGTAGTTGGAAAACCTATTTGTACCTATTTTTTATGATTTCATTATTTTGACTTCATTAAGATTTGCAAAACTTTGTTGATAAATTTGTATATAAAATGGAGAGACATTCAAAGCACAAGCAGTTTGTGAGTCTGACAGTTTCCAAGTATGACTATGATTTTACTTTCCACTGAAACTTCTCTCTATGCTGCACATCTGTGTAACCTTCTTTTGGTTAAATTTGTGTGAACAGTTTGGGCTCTCTCTGGTTTCTGCCAAACGTGCACTCAGCCTCCATTTACCCAGGGATATATTGAGAACTTATTAAATCTATTTATGGATGTCCCAATTCCTAGTCTCCCAGTTTAACCCCCAAATAATTTGCAAGTCTACCACTTGTTTCATCCCCTCCAGCAATAAAGCTTCTGGTTTTCATACCCTGCCCTGTCCAATTGAGTTATCATGACAACTGAGCTGGGGATGGAAGCAGCCCAAGCCAATCACGACCAATATTCCCACTTGATATGGTTTGACTGTGCCCCCCACCCAAATGTCATGTTGAATACCCACGTATTGTAGGAGGCACCCGGTGGGAGGTATATGAGTCATGGGGGAAAGTTTTTCTCGTGCTGTTCTCATGATAGTGAATAAGTCCCATGAGATCTGATGGTTTTATAAGGAGGAGTTTCCCTGCACAAGCTCTCTCTTTGCCTTCCGCCATCCACTGAGGTGTGACTTTTTGCCTTTTGCCATTATTGTGAGGCTTTCCCAGCCACGTGGAACTGTAAGTCCATTATAAACCTCTTTCTTTGGAAATTGCCCCGTTTGGGTATGTCTTTATTAGCAGTGTGAAAACAGACTAATACACTAGTGTTCTTACTTGAAGATCAGTAGCTTCTCATGAACAAATGCTGCTCAGTTTGTTATAAACTTTTGTTTAATTTCCAAAATGCTGAAATGGTTGGTTGTTTTTTAACGTTTTGTCCAGCTATACAACTCATTTTTTGGGAGAAAATTTTATTTATTTTATTTTGTGATCTTTCTATTTAATTATAATTTTGGCAGCTTTTATAATGTATTTCCTGAAATAGTAATAAAAACACTATATTTCTCTGAATTTTTTTAGTCATTCTCAAAATTGTTTTGATTGGACAATTTTTTTATACTTAAATATTTAAAGTATTACATATAAAATAAAACACAGGTAATGAATGAATTTTGTTTTGGCATAAGATTCTATAAATGATGGTTTCTAAATATTCCATTATAGTATTGATTTCATGTGCATAAAAAAGAAAGCTGCAGGCCTAATGTACCTCTTTCTAATATACCAGCCAGAATTACTCATCTGACAACCTAATAACAATTCTAAATAATTGAATCAGACTGAAAGAGACAACAATATTCTGAGAGATCTCAGAAATCTGAAGAAAATAGTTCAGATATCTTATCAATGTTTCATAAATGAGTCCATTAAGTTTCTGAGGAAGATTGTGACATTCTTAGAATCCTAAAGGAAGTTGACAATTAGCCATGATTAAACTCACAGACTGTGTCCTCATCCTGTTATAGAATTCTTAACCTCTCCTTGCCTTCATTGCTACTCAGTGGTAAAGTTTTTCTACCTAAAATTTTAAAAATCTGAGTAGAAGTGATTAAGAACAGCTTTTAAAAAAGACAAAAATAGCTAGTCAGACTTTCCATTTTCTTGTATTTATCAATGGAATTTCCACCACTGGCAATATGTGAAAACATTGAGTTGATTATGTATTCATTTTGCAGGGAAGATACATATATGCATACATACAAATAAACACAGCAATAAGCCCTCTGTCAAATATAGGGGAAGATTTTTTGAATTAAATTTATTACACTTGTAATATTGATCTTATTTGCGTAAATTTATTAGTCCCACTATGCAACCAAGTAAATTATACATGCAGAAATCTAAAGAAAATAGTGATAATCATAAATATTTAGGGGACATGAAATATAAAAATAAATATATTACTTACTTTGTAGTTAAAGGTTTTCTATTTTTTTCTGAAATAACTTGAAAGTATGATTATTTCTTCCAAATACAAATATTCTCCTCTTTTTTCCTTGATTATAAGTGTTTATAATGAAAATCTACAAACCTAAAATAGAAGTTATTCAGAGATTTATATTCAGACTATAGATGAAACGTGGTAAGAATAGTTCTATATATCCTATTGACAGTTCTCAAAGATATAATATTGTGATCAGCAGATTAGTTTTAAAAAAGCAGCTACAACAAAATTCTCATGTTCTACCTAAATAATTAAAAATACTATAAACACAATTTGTCCACCTTCTGTAACTGTTAAATCTATTTTAAATAATGTAAACTAACAGAAAGAAGAGTCACAATAAATAAAGAACTATCTCCTACTATAAACAAGTAGATATGTAATATTGAATATGGAATCAGCCTTGAGAAGATGGTTAAGGAACGTCCAAAATATCCTTTTCCTTTTACTCTCTAATTTTACTTCTGTAAATATATTGTAAGGGAATAATAAACTATAAGGCAGCATTTTTTGATAGGTATGGGAAAAGTCTGTGGTATAGTCCTTGCTTAAAGAACTTACCACTTGAAGTGGAGCTAATGTACCTGAAACAATGAACACATGAAGCTATATGTTGAAAATTAAAATATGTTTCATAAACTATGTGTACATATATTAACATGTACAAATTTTTGCAATGCTCTTTGTTCAAATAATTTTACCAATGGAATATAGAGAACACATATTTCCCCATTTTCTCATGAATATTTTTGTTACTCTGCTTTCCTTTATAGCTAGAGATCTCAAAGGCAAATGTCCCCCTAGCTTTCAGCTTACAGTAGCTAAATGATAAATGCATGTATCATTCTCAGCCTTCTTCTTCTATGTATACTTATAAATGTATATATTTGCATGTATGTATATATAATAAAAAAATATATTGTAATATGTAAAATATTTCCTATAAAATATGGTAGTGGTAAAAATTACAAAGCTAAAAATAGAAGCCATAATTTTACAATTTATATTTTTTCCTTTACTTCCTGCCTTTTTTATACACATGTGCACACACACTAAAAGTTGAAAGTACATTGTAATATAGTTCAGATACATATCTTTAATATGGTATAAATTGCCCAGTAAATACATTTTCCTTTTACCTCAAAAGCTCTTCACAAACATAAAGGTAATGACTGGATTTTATTACATTGTATAGATGTTTAATTATTTACTTCAACCACTTTCTAATTGATTGGCATTTATGTCTTCTCCCCCTTTCCATTATTATATAAACAATGCTGCAATGAAAAAATGCTGCCTTATTGTTTATTATTCCCTTAGAATATATTTACAGAAGTAAAATCAGTGAGTAAAAGGAAAAGGATATTTTAGACGTTCCTTAAACATCTTCTCAAATTTCTTATCAGAAAAGTTCTACTACTTTGCACTCCCAAACTAAGAAATTGTTTTTCATTCATTTTCCACTATGGAAATTTTAAATCATATAATTGTCACAAAAAGATATTGTAACTTAGTTCAGAAGCCAAATTTTATATCATTTTGCTCTAAGTATTATTTCTTTGGTTAGTTATCAGGTTGATATTTTGTCCAATACTTAATAATTTAATTGCCTCCTAATCATCCTGGTGGTGAGGGACAGATTCCTGCCTGTCCTGGGGTTATGGCGAGGGCTGAGCACATTGCACCTGACACTGGACAGATGACATCAACAGCAGCTTATTAGTCACATATGCTCAAAGTTTGGGGCAACAGGACACCACACATGACACAGAGCCACACGGGGTTGTACTGGGGAACACTGAACAACCAGAGCCTGTGCAAGGCTGGGTTTTTAGTATCAGAAGGTTGGAGCGCCCCTAGGTCCTACAGGGAAACTTGGTTGGCTCCGCTGAATAGTTCCTCAGACTGGCAGGAAACGGAAATTCCTGACCCCCTTGATAAAGAGGATTTTTCAGCGAGGGAACCTGATCCATTAGAGCAGAGTTGGGGTTGTGGGGGAGGGCGTGGGATGGGAGGGAGCTTGTGGTCCGACCCTCGTTATTTTATCAGAAAATTAGGCAGCATCTAATATTGAGTCTTAACTATAACTTTTAGACCACAATTAGCTCTGTTTCTTTCCTTTCAGTGACTTATCTACTTAATATGCAGGATAATAGACTATTTTTATTTTGTTTGTTTTGTTTTGCTGCAACACGGAGTATATGAAAGGGACCAGAGTATATAAAAAGCTAGGGCCAGCATATGTTGGGCCCAGTAGACAAATAAATAGTCTAAGTTTAATTTGATAGGGAAGATTGGCATCTTGAAATCATTGAAAATATAGCTTCGTTTATGAGGTCTTTTAAAAAAATTTGTTTTGTTTGCTTCAAAGTTGAATTCTGAAGGAAGCTTAATCATAATGAATGAATAAGATACACGAAAGTTTGAATAAATAGGTTGGATCACCTTTGCTTGTGAGTCTACTGCTGCTCTCAAATGCGGTATGGTAAATAAAGAGGTACTGAGCAAAATATGGTGAGCTACTCCATGTGATTTGGATAAGTTATGGCTAAGAGTCACTTAACATTTCTCCAATATCAATTATATGAACATTTTATGAGAAAACTAATTTTTTTCAGATCAGCCAATTCTTAAAATAGAAAGAGTTAAAACAATTATGCCATCTCTTCTGTTTCTCGTAGAAGACCAAAAGAAAGCAAAGCTGTCACCCTCAGGACAAGTGTGTTCTACCCTAACTGCTGGAACTAAACAGATCCTACAAAGTGGGCCTTAACACTGAATTTCTCCTTTCCCATATAAAATGGCTTTTTCTATCTTATTATTTTGATAGTGCAATTACATAGTATTCATTTCCTTTTTTTTTCCTTTTTTTTCTTTTTCTTTTTCTTTTTATTTATTTATTTATTTATTTATTTATTTTTTTATTGAGACGGAGCCTTACTCTGTTGCCCAGCCCAGGCTAGAGTGCAGTGGCACAATCTCGGCCCACTGCAACCTCTGCCACCCAGGTTCAAGTGATTCTCCTGCCTCAGCCTCCCGAATAGCTGGGATTACAGGTGCCTGCCACCACGCCTGGCTAATTTTTGTAGTTTTTTAGTAGAGACAGGGTTTCATCATCTTGGCCAGGTTGGTCTTGAACTCCTGACCTCGTGATTAACCTGCCTCAGCCTCCCAGAGTGTTCACTTTTTCATTGTAAGCCTTGTTTAGGAATATATTGAGCATAAAGCTATGGAAATAGAGTAAAGCTCAGATTGAATCTCTTTTGAAATCACAATTTCTTCCTGGTAAATTCTGGTGAAAACATGGATTTATTTACTCAGTAACAAAGGAAGTTTTTATTCTCAGGGTGAGTTTCACAGAAACATTATCATTTCTCCTGACAGGTTGCTTGGATATTGTGTTCCTGCTAAGGAAGTGACATTATAGACTTTGCTTCCAGCTGGAGGTAGCTTAACACATTTTCTTATCCACTCTTAATAAAATAAAATTAAAGGAATGAATAATTGATTACATGAGAGTGAAGACATTCACAATATTCAAGGATAGGAGGATAGATGGTAATATTAATGTGAAACGTAGGCATATAAATGTAAAATGTATGTGAACTGGCAGTAGAAAAATAAGCAAGGAGAAGTGGGATTCAATAAAGGAGTAAGGATTTATATTGATTTTCTAGAATATTTTCTTGGCAGTTGGAGTGATGATCAAAGGTAGAAAGAACAAGGATGTGAAAGTCAAGAGAAAAACAATGAGTTATCAGCTTTTTTGTATGCTGGACAACCTACAGCAAGTTTCTAACTCTCCTTAGCAGTCTCAGCTGCTTTGTCGTAAAACTGGTATGAATAGTACATAACTCAAAATGTTGTGGAGGTGGTTAAAGAAAGGCAATGCAAAAAAAAGCTACGGGATAGTGTCAGACACATAGGAGACACTTGGCAAGTGTTACTCTTTTCTTCCATCCCTGAAGACAATGCTGAAGAGATTGTGAAAAATCAAGTACACTTAACGTAAAATAATATTGGCACAAACAACAAAAATCAAATAAAATCCATCTGTTCAAAGTCATGTGTTTTGAGATGTTTTGACAAAAGATCAATACATCCTATAGAATAGAAAATTAGATGAAAATAAACAAAAGCAGCTCACTTTTTGCTTAAAGCATAATTTCAATGGGATGTTTGAATATTTTTAGCCCAGTTATTAACACCATGAAATACATTTTTGTCCATTCCAGATAGTAGTAATTATTTTTAATACAGTAACGAAAATAACCAAAAATAACTATACTAAATGACTCTTCAGTGAAAAATTAGCCCCTGATATATATAGGAAAGTAGAAGCTGTTGAATTATATTGAATATCTCCTTCACCAAATGCAAATTGATTTTGATGAGAACAGGTTCAGCCTGTAGTGTAAAAATAATTTGGCATCTGGATTTTATTTATGTACCTAAAATGACTCAGCAAATTGAGAACTTTTCTCTCTAAATCAGTTTTCAACTCCCTCCAAAATATAGGTTAGTATAATAGTTATTACATAATCAGACATATATGGCACTTTGTTCTATACAGATATACATACCAAGATATAGAAATATTAAGCCAATTACTAATTCATTTAACAGATATGTATGCAATTCATATTTGGATTATAATGCTAAAAGCTATAATATTAAAAGATGTAATAATCTCATCTTTATAATGTTGGAAAAATATAGATATAAACATACATAAAAGTATATGCAGTAATAGAAAAATGGAAATTATACTGACAAAACAAATGTAATGTTTCCTAACTAATTAGTTGCAGCTACTGCAGATTAAACCATGTAGTATAACTTGTGGGCTGCCTAAGCCAAAAGCATTTCCTCTGCTTAGTCTTGACTGAGAAATGCTGGCTTCCAACACCTTTTTTCATATCTTGGTACTTTCTCTTTTATTATTTGGTTGCAAATTCTCCCATCACTCTTCTCTAAAATTGAATGGGGAAAGGAGGGACTGGAGTGTGCTACTGTCAAACCTATGCCTTCTTATTCTAAACCAAGTGAACTGGCATAAACCAAACAGGAGACTCACTGCCAAGTCACTTGTTTGGAGAAAGAATATGTGCTTCACTCCAGATTTCCCTCATATTAGCTGTGTAGCCTGGAGTTTTGAACCTCTCAAAGCTTCATTTCCTCACATGCAAAATACAGGGCTTTTTTTTTTTCCGTTTGCTCTTTTATTTTAAAATCCAATGAGATAATGTAATTTTAAAGGCATTTTCTAAGAATAGAATACAATATGCATATACTATCTTACCCAGCCTATTTCCCTTCTTTCCTACCCTCTATCACTACTCGATCATTGTTGTAGCTACTATAAACACAAATGTCTTGCACATTTTGCTACCAAAATAATGTATACATATGTTGTGTGCACAACAAATTTCTGAGTATGATTTTTATCCTTGTATTAGTTTTCTATCACTGCATAACAAATTTAATGAGTTAAAACAACAGATATTCACCATCATCATTTTCATGGGTCAATAATCCAGGCATGGCTGCAGTGGGTTCCCTGATCATGAATTTATGAACTATAATCTATGTTAGTTGTGCTGTATCCCTTTCTAGAGCTTGGGAGACCTCTTCCAAACTCATGTGGTTGTTGGTAGGATTCAGTTTCTTGTAGATGTGGAACTGAATTCCCCATATGGTTGCTGTCAGGCAGGGGCCACTGACCCCAAGTGGTCTCTCTCAATTTATTGCTATGAGGTCCACTAACAAGTGACAGCTTAGTTCTTGAAGGCCAGGGGGAAATCTCTTACTCTAGCCTCTTAAGATGGAATCCAATATAAAATAATTATGGTAGTGGCTATCTATCACCTTTGCCAGATCTTATTGATTAGAAGCATGTCACAAGTTCTGCCTTCACTCAAAGGGAAGGGATTATACCAGGAAGTGGCTCATTGGAAATCATGATAGAGTATTTCTGCCACAATCCCATATTAAGTCAAGAAATCCAACAAAAGACTCTATATTTAATTTTGAATCAGAATAGTATTTTTCTTCCTACTTACATTTTATATAAGGAAAACTGACATTTATTTTGTCAAGTGCGTCATAGCTTTACACTAACATAAGTTTACACCATTTTATTTCCATCATCATTGTAGAGTTTCTTAAGTGTCTCTCAAAAAAACAATTTTCTTTAACACACAAAGTGAATGACCTCACCCCACGTCCTGGCCTGCCATCAATTTAGTATCAAGGCCAAACCTATAAAGTGACCCTATTTTCCAGGTTTGTGATGTCTAGCCTCATATCAAACAATCATTTTGTTTTGGACCCTAAGTACTGCTAAATGAAATAAATTTCCTTTTCATTGCCTTTTATAGAAGAATCTGGCAAACTCTTCAGATGTAGTCTTTATGCTTCTAATTTTGCAATTGTCTTATATAAGCTAAAATGAAGGAAAAAGAAAATCTTTATGTCATTACATGAATGAAGAATGCATTTGTGAATGTGGCAGTCCTGACAAATTTTCTTGGTAGGAATTATTCCAAGTCTATAAGGAGGAGAAAATCCTATGTGCTTTGAGTAAAATTACTTTAACAGCATACATCATCTGTCATTTGAAAAGTGTGTTCTACAGAGCCAGAATACCAGTGTCGTTTTTGTGTATTTTTTAACTTGTCTTCCTTATTTCCCATGCCAATGGTCATTTCAGTCATATGGCAGGCCATCTTGGACTCATCTCATGCAATATACTGTGAATATGGAAAGGCTTTTGTACAGTCTTTGAACTGTACATAACATTTTAATATTAATATTATTTAGATTACATTAGAAAAGAGGTGTGAATGCAAGTTCATGGAAATGTGAGATGAATTGTTCCTTCAAATTCTTCATGTACATAAAGGATATACATTTAAAACTGGAAACAGGCCAGTTGCAGTGACTCACGCCTGTAATCCAAGAAGTTTGGGAGGCCAAAGCAGGCATCACCTGAGGTCAGGAGTTTGATAACAGCTTGACCAACATGGCAACACCCCCTCTCTACCAAAAATACACAAAATTAGCTGAGCCTGGTGGCAGGAGCCTGTAATCCCAGCTACTTAGGAAGGCTGAGGCAGGAGAATCGCTTGAGCCTGGAGGCAGATGTTGCAGTGGGCCAAGACTGCACACTGCACTCCCGCCTGGGGGACAGAGCAAGACTCCATCTCAAAATAAAATAAAAAAATAAAATAAAACTACAAACAAAGGGATGCTGAACAGCAGTTTTCATGCCTGGAGCAATTGGCTGGATAAGAAAAAGCTAATGGGCATAAGTGAATTTATTATTGGAATACTCAGGATTAGAGTTGGATTAAACTTGGCATGAATGTGCTGTTTCCATTTTGATGTTGCTAAAAACTGTAAGGTATGGATTGTTATTAAGGTGATTGATGTACATTGTTGTGTTTATAGGAACGTTTTTTAAATACTGACCAATAATTAAATAAATAATGAAAATTATTTAGGTCTTCATGTTTGAGAATTAAGGAACAAACTGCTGCATTTCATAGGACAAAAAGGGAAATCATTATGAATTTTTAATATAATTTGGTTTACTTTCTTAAACACTTTTATGTATAATTTACAACACAGAGATAAGTAAGTGAAATAATATAAAATTAAATTCTCACAACCTTACTCAAGAGTGTAAGTAATGTGTAAACTACATAAAAATCAATTTAATGAACTATCCTTTGGGGACTTTTCTATTATTCTTGGAACTTTATAGGCATTATTATATGTATAATCTGTCTTCTTCTTTAGCCCCACTAATGATATAACTGAACTAAGCAATATATTTTTATTCTAGGATAGCTTTATTATAAAAAATCAACACAGTTGATTTAAACTATTCATAAGAAACAGTATGTTCATTAATACAAATTTTGCTTTCCCTTGATGCTTAAGTATAGGATATGAGAGTATTGAAATTAAACAAGTATTTTAATTTTATCCAAATGCAGTGTTCTAATTATAACCTCATAATATTTTAATATATATTTTAATGTTGAAAATGAAAACATTCTTTGTGATACTTTAAAATACTGGAGCTTTCATTGTAACAGATTAATAAACACATAAAATTGGATTTAATCTGTAAATTTAAATGCAAATGTAAAGATTTTTCCTTAGTATGCTCATGTTTGTTTTGTGCGTAGTTTATTTTTAAAGTGACTCCAAAGTAGCATATTTATCAAATACTTATAATGTACATAGAGACTTAAATTGTAATTCTAAGGTTAGTAGAGGTAATGCTTTTTCTTAATGGTTTTGCTACCTTTATCATTGAATTTCTCTTTTCTATAAAGATCCCAACCTTTGAAGGTTTTCTAAATTTTAAACTTCTCGGTAAGACTTTCTTAACCACAGATATGCTTATATATCATGAAATTACCACAACTTATGACTTTCTTTTTTAGTAAAGCACTTATGTTATCTGGAGTAACTATTGGTTTACATGTCTGTGTATGCTGTCGTACTGTGAACACAAGAACAAGACCATTTTCATGGCATCTGAAGTAGCATTTCATCAATGTTTTGAGATGAAACAAAAGCAGAGAGATGACATTATGTTGATAAAAATTTGTCAAAAGTTGAAAAACAATACTAAACACATCACTTGTCAGGGATCATTTACTTCTAAGAATTTCAATTCAAAATTAATGTTGCTTCTTGAGTTTACAAAAAATTCCATTGGTATTCTGCTTTCTAGATTTGAGGAGTGGTGTTACATTTTTATAGAAATATTTTTATTCATTTTATCTATATTTGAAATAAAAAACATTACAGTGCAACTATAGAAATATGAAATCAAAATATCCAGATTTAATTCTTTAAAATTACATAAATTTAATTTCTTTTCATGACATTCAAATTAGGGTAGAAGCAGCTACTATAAAACAAACAAACAAATGTTATTTTCCCTGGGTCCATTTATTTTCTAATGTTCTATTCTACAAAAATTTTTAAATCTTCCTATGCAACTTAATTGTCTACATGAGAAACAATAGCAGATGGGCACATTGGCTCATACCTGTAATCCCAGAACTTTTGGAAGGCTGAAGTAAAAGGGTCACTTGAGTCTAGGAGGTTGAAAGCAGTCTGAGCAATATAGCCAGATTTGGTGTCTGCTAAAAATAAAAAACTTAGGTGGGCATGGTGGCACTTAGTAGTCCCAGCTACTGGGGAGGCTAAGGTGGGAGAATCCCTAAGCCCATGAGTTTGAGGCTGCAGTGAGCTATGATCACACCATTGTACTCCAGCAAGGGCAACAGAGTGAGATTTTGTCTCAAAACAAAAAACAATATAGCAATGTCAACAAGAGGAACAGTAATTGTTGAAAATTAACTATATGACTGAAATTGTTTCTATGTATATAGTCTCATTTCTCACAGGATCATTTTGACTGTATTATTCTATTTACCAAAGACATGAGGCTTGTGAAGTATACTTCAAAAGCATTTTTGAGTATTTGAATTCACTATTGTGAGACTATATATTATAAAATTAAATAATTATTGTGTCTGTGCTACTTTATTGAGATGGTTCTAATTACAGTTTCTCATCACTGATCCTTTACCACAGGGTTTGAGAATGTGCTTAGCTACTAGAAATCCAATGACTCTGAGGACCCAACTACTTCACCTTCAAGACACTGTCATTTGCAGAATGAAACTAAAACCAAATTTTTAAAGTCCTTCATGCCAATGAATAGATTTTGAAGTTCCGCAACTACACTCTTTTGTTTGTTTTCTGTTTTTGTCTCCTATGTTGGCAAGGCTGGTCTTGAACTCCTGGCCTCAAGCAATCCTCCTGCCTCGGCCTCCCAAAGTGCTGGGATTACAGGCATGAGCCACCACACTCAGCCTGCAACTACACTTTTAGCCATACCTTTATAAGGTATAGCAATCTTAAGTCTATTTGTGGATTCTGAGTTTTGATATGGACTTCCTGGGGGAAAAAAGTGTTTTTAAAGGTATTCAAATAGAAGGAAAGCCCCAAAATATGTGACTAAAGTATTAGTGTTATATATAGGATCTGTTCCCATATTTGTAACCCATTCGTTTCTATAGAAGGAATTCTGCAAAAGGATTTTCTTGTTTTATTTTTATAGAAATGTCAATCTTTCTAATTTTTATAGTTTAAAAAATCAAGATTGCTCAATAGTCACATTAGATTTAAAATAATTAACATGCATTGCTTTCATTAAAACAGGGGTTTTCAACCTTGGCTCTAGTGACATTTTGGCCTAGAGAATCCTAGGAAGATATCCTGTGCATTGTAGGATGTTTATCAGCATTCCTGGCCTCTACCCACTAAATGCCAGTAGCATCGTTCCATGTTGACAACCAAAAATGTTTCTAGACATGGACCAATATAACCTGGGAGGAAAAGTAACCCCCATTTGAAAGCCACTGCTTTAAAAGAAAAGGGTTCCTGCCTATAATTCTAGCACTGTGAGAGGCCGAGGCAGGAGGATTGCTTCAGCTCAGGAGTTTGAGGCCAGCTTGGACAACATAGTGAGACCTTGTCTCTACAAAACAATAAAAAGAATAGAGCTATTCAAATATTCCATTATTTGTCATGATTAATATGTGTTTGTTTCTTGCCTTTCAAAATAATGATCTTAAAACTGCTATGCATTAAAGCATACTCATGCACCACATAATGTTTTGGTCAATGATGAAGCGTATATGCAACAATGTCCCATAAGATTACAGAACAGTACATTCACTGTATTGTTCTATGTTTAGGTATGTTTAGTCCTCTATATACTTGCTAATTTTTAGCCCTTTTTTAAAAAAACACAGAAACTAAAAATATCTACACTTATATTTATCTCAATTAGGTTTCTCATAATAATTATTCACCCTGGTCTTTTCATGTGGCTAATTCCAGAAGAACCTGTACTGCAAAGTAAGAGGCAGTTTACTAAGATGTTCATCAGTCAAGAATAATTTTATTGTGTCTTGCAGTAAGTGTCAGGTTAATACACAAACAATGTTAGTTGATTAATTAAGGCTGAAAAATGAATAATAATTTAAAAATTACGAGCATGTTTTCACTTTATAAATTACAATTGTTTGTATGATTGGTTTGTGTCTTCTCAATTTTGAATAGTCATTACTGCTCTTCTGTAAGTAAAATGTTTCTTAATTTCATAAGTGAATTGTATGCTCTGGGAACACTCAAAATTTTTACAAAATACCTAGTCAAAAATTGGCAAGTCCTGGGTATATTACTGAATATGGCTGAATTCAAAAAATTACTTGTTAATATCAGGTCAATCATTGGAGAGTCTACCAAGATCTCAGAAAATCCTATTTTATATTATTGAAATCAGAATGACATACTTTGGTTTTAGTGTCCAGTTCCAATATTCATGTTATATTTAGCTTCTGGGTACCTGATCTACTTTTTGTTATCTCTATAACTTGTGATAACTATTGTCCCTTCTTAAATTAGTACTAATAATTTGCTAATTGTTTACTACAGGTAATGGATTAGGAATTAGAATTGTGGGTGGTAAAGAAATCCCTGGACATAGTGGAGAAATTGGAGCCTACATTGCCAAGATTCTTCCTGGGGGAAGTGCAGAACAGACAGGGAAACTTATGGAAGGTAAGAATAAGGAATTTTACAGTAAAGTAAAATGAATGCACTCATATTAAATGCATTTTAATTTAATATGCAAATGTTCTCACCATTCTCTGTGTAGGTAAACCTCTCTCCTTATGGTTAGTTGTGAAATTTTGGTATAGTAATGTAAAAGAAGATATGTCCACAAATATATTCATTTTATTTTCAATTGCATTGTCCTTTTGGCAGTTAGCTACAGAAGTATCTTGTTTAAGAAACACTGGTCAAAACTTTTTTACTGACTGGGGCAATTTTATTAAAAAACACTTGAGTTATCTATGATAGTGTTTCACAAACACCAAGAAAAAATATGTTGGAATTAGAGCTACAAAAAAAAATCAAATGATTCAGTACACGCTAAGGTTGGGTAAACAAGTATGGATGGCCCACAGGCTTTATCCATCTGCTGCCTGCTTCTATAAACACTGTTTTATTGGAACATAGTCATGATCGTTAATTTACATATTGAGCCTGGGTGCTTTACCAAAACAATAGCAGAACTGCATTCATGACAGAGAATGTATGGTCTGCAGCATCTGAAATACTTACTCATGGCCCTGTACAGAAAACATTTGCCAACCCCTGTCCTAGGTGTGGTCTGTTTTTAAATACTAAATGCCTCAGTACCTCAAAAGTGTTTTAAAGTAATGATCATTAGAATAGGAGATAATGGGCCATAAAATATGTACTTAATCATTTTCATTCAGTAAAATATTGGACCTAGATTCTCAAAATACATAATGAAAATTTTTCATTGTCAATCAGATAATATGGTCATTTCCATTCTCCAGATTCTCTAACATAAATATAGTTCGCAAGGTTTTGGTGATTTTTTTTTTATAATGAACATTGTCACAAAGTAAATGCAACCTTTTTATTTTCTCTCTATATATAATATTACTTGAAAAAAAGTTTTTCTGTCATTTCATAGTTTAATAAATTTTGTCTGCTGTTGCTTAAAAACTTTAATCATGTTAAAATTGACTCACTGTGATTTTCTCAAATTACATATATTGGAAATTTCCAGAAAATGTCCATGGTCATTTTGATAGACTATTAGAATAAACACAAATTAGAAGCAGTATTTATTCATCACAGTGTTGTGCTGGAGCCAGGTTGCTCCATATCAATAAGACATTCTATACAAATCTCTTCCCAACTTCAAATTAAGTAACATCATGATGATAGCTTGAATTGGCTATGGTGGCAGCATTTACAACGTGGAAATAGGCAAATGCTATAACTCAAAACTTTATATTTGCTTGCTTGCTGAATTATTTACTTTCAGAATGCCAGCTTACCAGCACATCACCAAATAAATAACTAAAAGCATATTGTTGGCCGGGCGTGGTGGCTCACACCTGTAATCCCAGCACTTTGAGAGGCCGAGGTGGGCGGATTGCTTGAGACCAGCAGTTCAAGACTAGTCTGGCCAACATGGAGAAACCCTGTCTCTACAAAAAAAAAAATACAAAACTTACCCGGGCGTGGTGGTGGGGAGCCTGTAGCCCCGGTTACTTGGGAGGCTGAGGCACGAGAATGGTTTGAACGTGGGAGGCGGAGGTTGCAGTGGGCCAAGATCACGCCACTATACTCGAGCCTGGACAACAGAGTGAGACTTTGTCTCAAAAATAAATAAATAAATAAATAAATAAATGCACATTAATAAAAATATTCTAATGGCATTCATAAAAGAGGACAAGTTAGGAGAGCTTGCCAGATAGCTCAATGAAAGGAAAGACTGTACGAATAAAGAAATAACAGTTATAAGCAAAGTACTTGGCGCATAGGCATTTTCTATTACTATAACTCTTTTATGTCCAATGATAATTTTCGGTGTTACAGTCTAATAAGGATACATAAATTGAGACCCATTTTTAAGGATGAGAGTAATAGGATCACTTTCACCTAGTATACCTTAGAAGAAAATTGAACATGCTATTTTTATTTTAAAATAAAATTTGCAATAACAACTGTGTCTAATATCATTTGACAAAAATACTTGAATAATTTATAAATATCATATACTTTTTTGGATTAACACCATGAAAATCAACAAATACTACAAATTAGCATGATTCTAAAGACAATATCAACACAGGATATACTATGATGAAGCGATGCTCTCTGCACTTTGTAGTCTAGGTGGCGTTTATTAAGTTCATAAGTTTAATTTTAAAAATAGATATGACACTATCTCAAGAGAGAAAATGAAAGTAAATCTAAAATTATATTTGTGATTTTACAAGCTCTAAGACTGATACTAAAGTCTTCTTATTTTATTTCGGAACTAGTATTTTTGCAGTTTATGTAATTGGTTTAAGTGAGAAATCATTAAAAACTGTATGCATAGGATTTAAGATTTTATTTTTATTAATTATGGTATTTATTCATTCTCTCAAAATTTTGCCAAGGTGTTAAGTCAGGCCTTTCTATGAGTATAAATCCTCTGATTGAAGTCCAGTTCTTGTATAATCAAAACCCATAATTTGTTATTTATAATTTCCAGCTTTATTTACTCTTATAACAAAGCTCTTTAATAAACTACTTGTTAATATTTCTATTAGATTCATGATACTGTCTTGACTGTCAATATTCAAATACTGTTTTTGAGCATTAAATATTTTGGAGAATAATGTCGACATATGGTACATCATATCTTTCCCCCCCTCATAAAGGTTATACTTGTATTCTACACCATCAGGTGACAATGATAGAAGTTTATTCCTTTAGTATCCAAAGATTAACTAGCTAGAAGTTTACAAGTCCAAAAGGGTATACACAAGAATTCACCTTGTTTAGACCACTACATTTACTGGTACGTGTGTGTGTGTGGTGTGTGTGTGTGTGTGTGTTTTATACTTGTTTTTGTCTATAGTTCTATGTTTAATTTTACACTATATCCTTCATCCTCAACCCCTTATAGATTATCCCAAAATTCCAAAGCAGTAGATTGGTTGAGATACAACCCTGATTTTTATGCCTTATGTGAGGTATTATCATGATGTCAATTGTATATCACTGGAGGTTTTTTTCCAATTAAAAAAATTCATCATTATTGATTTTTTAAAATTTATTTGTTGAAGGCAATAAAGGTGTTGAACATTTCATAGTTTGAAGTTAACTCTTTCCTAAGGAAAAATTATACCTACGTTAATAAAAGATAGATGATGTGTTTATGTAATTTGATTTTTCCCCCTGTTTAATTACTTGCAGGCAGACTTAGAAATTGATCATCTCTTTCATATATATCTTTGTTTTCTGTATTTCTGAATATAGAATTATATAGACTGTGCCCCTACAGATTCACTGTCATCTTCCAGTTTATTTAAAACATGAATGACAACTTGGTTGGCAATAGAATTCTTAGAGCGTACTCTTTTCTACCCTAATCTACAAAGCTGTTGTTCGGAAAAGCTAAGTCTCCTGCTTTTCCTGAGTTTGTTCATTTCTCTTATCACAGACTTTTAAAAATATTTTGGTATAGCTTTTACTTTTAGAGTTTTATTTTTATTTTTAATTGACAATAATACCTATATAGATTTATGAGTTACAATGTGATGTTTCAATTCATATATATATTATGGAATGATCAAATCAGGCCACCTAGCGTACGACAGGATTTTACAACATCAGATTCTAACATTTTAACACTTTTGCAGCACTCGGTGTCATAGACTCTGACTATGTTGGCTTTGGGAAAACAAGAGTATTTTCAAATTCCCTCTAGCTTTTGTTCTATATATTCACTTACAATACATTGAGCAGTCATATAGGTTTTCTGATGTTTATAAGCCAAGTGCTATTGGTTTTTTTTTTTTTTTTTTTTATACTTTAAGTTGTAGGGTACATGTGCATAACGTGCAGGTTTGTTACATATGTATACTTGTGCCATGTTGGTGTGCATTGGGAGTTATACCTGATGTAAATGATGAGTTGATGGCTATTGGTTTTAAAACACTCCTAATGGTATGTGTGCCATCTCCTAAAATAAAAAAATGCAGTTCAAGAACTTTACTATTAAAAATTTCCTGAGCCACTTTTTAGTTTTCAATCAGTCTACAATGATTTTCTGAAAGAACTCAGAGAATCAAGTACTTGAAGGATTATAATGCCCCAAAAATCTTAAAATTTATTTCCCAGTAACATTTAGTAAGCATTCCTACACAAATACTGGACAGAGAATAATCTTTTGCAACCTATTATTCTTTGTTTTAGTTGCGTAAATTAGTCTTTGTTCTATAAAAAAGATGAAGACAAAAGATCTGGGGAATTTACAAATCTAAATTTCTGAAGTGCTATTTCTTGCTATTTGATTTAGGATACAATATTAACAATTTTTTGACCAGCACTGTTGGGGCTGTGAGATGTTCAGCAATGTTGGAGTATTAAATGGTATATAATGTTGTCTCTCATTTTCGTCTTTGTCATTGGTATTTTTTGTTGAACTAGTTTGAGCATCTAAAAGTGTACTAGAATATATGAACTTTGAATAAATATTTACAACTTTCATTTTAAATCTTTACCCTAGATTAATTATTATAAACCTTTTTATATTTAAGTTAAATATAACCAACATCTTACCTAATAGACTTTAGAAAAGTAGATGCTTCCTCTATAAATAACTGTATTTTCTCTTGACTGTTTACCAGGTAAAACCTACTGATTACAATTTTAGGAAGTTTTGCATTTATTACATGCTTATTCTTTAAAAATCACTATCTGCATATGTTCATCTAAGATCAATATTCCAACCCTCTCCAAATTTGGGAAATTTGTAAACAATTGTCAAGATCTCATGACAAATGGAAACTTCGATTTTACTCTGATAAAGACCAGATTCAGGCCGGTCACAGTGGCTCACTCCTGTAATCTCATTGCGTTGAGCCCAGGAGGCGGAGGTTGCAGTGAACCGAGATTGCGCCCCTGCACTGTGTTCCTTACCACTTTGTGCACACATCTATTGTGTACCTTGACCTTGT